CCTCGTCTATCCGAGGCCATTTATAAAACTTTAATCGTGGGATATCTATATTCATTTCACCAGATGCTTATTCCTAACTTGGCGAGATGCTAATTCATTGCCTCTCACTTGTCGAGTTTAGCCATAAGACCTTCTGTCCGAGGTCCATTCTAAGACTCTGATAGTTCGAGAGCTATTCACGGAATGTTTATTCCCCATCGCCAGATGTTTATTCCTCACTTTGCAAGATGCTTCACCATATAAGTTATTGCATTATAGCCGTATTTATCTTCAGAAAGTTCATCATGCCTCTACATTATAGCTATCTATCTTTCAGAGCTTTGCTTCTACTTCAGCTATGTCACATCTACTTATCTTCAAAGAGTTTACATTAACCCTTGTATGGATGAACCATCCACCATGCAGGAAGCCCTTGACATGGATGAACTATCCACCATGCAAGGATGTTATTTACTGCTTTGTACGGAGAGGGATGGGGCCAACCTTATTACCTATGAAGACGAAGCCTATCATGGCTAGATCAAACACCATGGACGAAGCCTTTGCATAGAAGAGTAAACCGCTTGCAATGAGGTTAAAAATAAAAATAAAAAAGGAGCTTCGACAAAAAAAGTGCGACACCTCCCACGAGGAGCCACGTCCCGCTATCTTAGAAGTTCATCCCTTCCATGGTTGGACCAAACACCACGGAGGAAGCCATTGACATAGATGCGTCACTCCCATGTAAGGACGTCAGCTTTATCATAGTTATATATATTCAAAACATGGCCTTTGTTACTCACATCTAGAGCATCGCTTTTGCTACTTACATTCAGAGCATCGCTTCTACATCAGTTTATCACAGCTGCTTATTTATTCAATCTCGTCTCGACATTAGCTTCATCACAGTGGCTTATATTTCAACTTCGGCCTGCATATAAATATTCGACTTGGGGACTACAATTATACTAGTATTATAGTATCATTACATATTATTGCTAGCACAAACATTATATTATTGTTGTAAAGTACATATGTCAAACACTACTACCATAACTCATGACCCATGATATTATTTTCATTGCAAAAAGTACTGTATGCCACGTTATGATCATTTTCATTTTATTATCGATATTATGTTACTTCACTATAGCGCTACTGATACACTGAGTTGTGTGAGCATATGATTTACTGTGAAGCATGATAGACTCTCTTCATTTTATATCTTGGAGAAATTTAATATGTTATCATTCAGTTTATCATCATGAGTAGTATAAGTGTTGTGTATATATTGTATTATATTACAGGTTGGTTTAGTCCACATTATAGAGAGATGCTGTTGAAATTTTGACAAATTATATGTCACGTCTTTCGAGGCAATTCGTAAGTCCTCGTCTATTCGGGACCAATGCATATTTTCAAGAAAGTTCATAAGTCCTTGTTTGTTGTAGCTACTCATATTACTGAGGCAATAACACCTCGTCTGTTTGACAGCTTATATTTTGAAGTTCGACCTACACATAAATGTATGACTCAGATTTGGGGGACTATTGTTATACCTACAAAATTATCTCATATTGGGCTCTCCCATTGGGCTTAGAACTTGGTCCGGACCATTAGCTCAAGAGGCCTATTTCCATTTCTATATATAAGTGATTCATTTAAAATGAAAGGGGAGGTCTGGGTGAGTCCAAGTAGAGATGTGGTCAGGATTCCGTTGGCGCATTTTTTGGGATCAACACATTCCATTTGTATCGATTAATGAATTTTAAAACCTATTTCAAGGAATCGAATTGGAACGAAACTTTTTGGTTCCATCTCTAAGGATGGAATGGAATCGATGATTTAATTATCAAAATACCCACAGGTCACAATTCGTTTCAGTTCTTTTTGAAATTTGGTCGAATCGGAAAGCCTATCCCAAATTATAGTTGTATTCAATGCATGTTATGTGCAGATATCAAGATAGCACTTGGATTTGTCTAGGCCATATTTAAATGGCTGTTTTATTATGAACCTAAAAACATTAAAAAAAATAAAAAAATACACATTGAACATAGAGGGGAGAGACGGTGTGTATACTATAGATACAAATAGCTTGTAATGAAAAATAAAATAAAATAAAAAATAGCAAAATAATAAGTTAACTTGAGAGAAATCTAGACTTTCCAATGTATTATCAGTGTTTCAAAAAATCAATGAAGTTCAAGACTGCCAAAAGGCATGTACTTGGATCTTTAAAGATGAGTTATGCTATTTAATATCATGGGTGTTACAACACTAATCTAAATAACATCAAGTTATTAGATAAAAGATTCAATTATATGAATCACATAATTTCACATTTAATCATATGGTAATTGGTGATGGTTCAGGTTTACCCGTTACTCATATTGGCTCTCTTATTTTACATTCGCCTACTCATAATTTTAAACTCAATGACACATTATATGTTCCGGACATTCATAAAAATCTCATCTCTGTGCATCAATTCGTCAAAAAAAATAATGTACTAATTGAGTTTCATCCTAATTATTTTTTGGTAAAGGATCGAACAACGGGGGCGATTCTACTTCGAGATGAGTTATGCTATTTAATATCATGGGTGTTACAACACTAATCTAAATAACATCAAGTTATTAGATAAAAGATTCAATTATATGAATCACATAATTTCACATTTAATTATACATATCACATAATGTTAGAATATTATTAAGTGTCAAAAGAACCCATAATTTTGAAGCCCCCAATGTTGTCTTGAAGGGCATATACGTGAATACGATGCCAAGTCGATGTTTTAAGATAAATGAGTTGAACTTATCTGAGAGTGGGAGAATTTATAAACTGTGTATACTAGGTTTAAATTGTCTTAATCTAAATCAGGAATCTTTTAAGTCTTAACTAATAGCAAGATGTTGACCAAGATCAAGAATCTTAACACAGATCGATAAACTAAAAGAACAAAAAGGTAAAATTAATATATACACGCTATGAAATTGAAGAAAATTTGGTTTTTCGATAAGTGAAAAATTCATCAAAAAGTGTCCTTTAAAATAATCTTAGGTAAGTTTTGGACATCAGACGGATTGGTCCGAATATTTCAATACCCTCTACCACCCATTATATTTCAGGTAATTTATAAACGAAAGCACTCAGCTTGTTGAAATTATTGGAACCAAATTCAAACTTGAACCGTTGGTTCTAGTTCTAATTCGGATTCGATTTTACCAATAACAATTTTTTTATATACATTTAATAAAAAATTCATATAGAATATTCAAGAATCAAAGAAATCTAGTTGAATGACTTAAAACAGCGGCGATTAAAAAACACAAAAAGAAGAGAAAATCAAAACATCAAAAATTAATTATAGTTTGAGAAGAAATATTTTTTCTTAATAAATCTTGTTCAATCTATAAGTGAGGTATGCTAAAGCCTATAATTTATATGAACAATGTTTAATTCTTCTACTTTTAAAATGAAATGAAAGAAATACTAATTATATACATAACTATATTGTATCAAGAAATTGCAATTTACATGATAAACTCGCTTTATTTGAGTAAAAAAGAAAAATCATATTTTAAAAGAGAACCAACAACTCGAGATAATAAAAAAGGTACACCACAACCCAACCTATGAATATACCAAGTTCAATTACCATGCACTAATTAAAATATATATATATATTAAAAAATAACTTATGTTTGTAAACAATGCAAGAAGATAAAAAGTTTGAATTAAAAAGGCTTAAGACTTTGATTCATCAATTTACACTACAATCCTAATTTGAACTTTTTGATTCATAGAAAATCCAAATTCATATGTACTTATATCTAAAATGCGACAATCTAATGTGAGTGCGAGAAGCAAAAGATAGGAACAGTCATTATTTCTTAGGGTTAGGGTTTTTAAAAAATCACTACCAAAATAGAGTGTATTTTCTACCCAGTATAAAAATTGTAAAAAAATAAAGAAATTACATTAAAAAATCAGTTCCATTTGGGTACCCAAAATAACTTATGCTTCTAAACAATGCAAAACGAGAAAAAGTTTGAATTGTAAAAGAATGAATGCTTTGATTCATAATTTTACACCACAGTCCTAGTATGAACCTTTTGATTTATAGAAAATCTAAATTCCAACGATTAATATGTCCTAATCTCTAAAATGCAACAATCTGATATGAGCGCGAGGGGCAAAAAGATAAGAACCAATCATGATTTCTTAGACTTAGAGACCTTTAGACAAATTACCTCCCAAAATAGAGTTTTTGGTTTTGTATTTTTTCACCCAGTATATAAATTGTAAAAGTAAAAAAATTATATAAAAATTTGGTTCCATTCAAATATTCTTAATTCTAGTTCACGAACCAAAAAGTGACCCGACTTGATTGATTCTCAATTCTAATTCCCCCCTTTTTTATATCGAACCGAAACCTTCGATTTCTATTATTTCGATAAAATGCACAAGCCTAATGTTAGGTAGTACATAATAAATTGTTGAGAGTGGAACGGGTGATATAGAGAAAAAAAAATAAAAATTACAACTAAAAAACATAATCTTGAAATTAAAATCTATAAACACCTCTTTTCGATTTTCTATTTACCTAGTTTATATTTTTCTTTATGTGTTTCAGTTCAAGGACTGCAGTGTAGTCAACCACTTCCTTCATAGTTCGTTAGCTCGCTCTTAATAAATTATGTTATTTGTCCATAATATGGAGCAAAAGGATTCGAACCTTTGCATACTTCGACCATGAATGTTCGTTGCTTTTGACCGCCATATTTCCTCACCCGAAAATGTGCAATTCGTTACATGCCCCTATTAAGTGCCATTCCTCTCAATTTTCATTAGTGAGCTCATGGGGCAGCCCGGTCTAGTAATGCCCCAGCAAGAAAAACGAATGGACTAGATTGATTGTTGTCCCAGCCCGAACTGACTTGAGCCCATGTGTCCAAGTTTCAAATCTTCATTCAAATGATAAAAATGTCAAATCAACACAGAAATCATCCATATTCGATATTCAAATGGGCAAAATCCAAATGTAGTAACAAGAAAAAATTTCCATTTTCCATAAAAACCCCTCGAAAAGGGTTTTTCTATTCCCCTCGCCTCACTTTCACACTCCTTCCCACTTCCTCTTTTCAATTCTTCTCCAGGTGGAGAACACTCTCTAAAAATTTTCAACAATATTTTTTAACTATCGTTTATTTATATGTATTGAAAATATTTCTTTTTTATATGTAAAGCTTTAAATTTATAGTATTAGATTATTTGTTGTAGAAGAGGTTCTTGATTAGACGGGGAGAATTTTTTGAGTTTCAAGGTATGCATCTTGATCAGATGGCGTTGAGCTTGCGATCTAGAGGTGGAATCCGCGGAGTATTTGGCCCGCGTTTGGGCAACTACTTGGCCGCTGACAATTCTGGTCCCTCAGTATTGCTTCCCTCTCTTCCTTCAAGGTTGTATTTTTATATTTTTTTATACGTAGGGTTTTTAATCATTTGGAATGTTTTCAGGGAAAGTTTTGATTCAGTATATTTTCAGATTGGTTACGTGTTGATTTATATTGCTCTTTTGGCTGATTATATGTTCATGTGGTTTTGACCTATTTCTAGCCAAAGGCTTACTTTGCAGTCTTGTGATAATTTATCTTTTGTGCTTAAAAACTAGAGATGATGGTTGACATTGATGTCCTAATTCTTGGCAATACACGTAAGGTGTGTAATTGCTGTAAATATGGACAGAAAGCAATACATAGGCTTTAGGTGGGCATGTTTGGAGTTACAGCAGGTCCATAAAGAAACCTATGGATAGGGAAACTTTACTTGGAAATTTTGTATGAAATTTTAGGTTTATGTCAGATGAATGTATGATAGACGATGTTCTGTTAGCCTATTAGCCACATATCCCAGTCTTAACATATTTAATGTTATGGTAAATGAGGGATTCCGTAATTGACCACAAGTTTGGGGTCAGTCCATGTTTGTTTCCTACTTCTTGAATCTACCATGCTAGGTGTATAATAATATTCTTGTTGTAGTTTATAGTCTTCAATAGTGGAAAAGTTATTTTGCACGATATTGGAATAATATTCTGAAGACCATCTTATTTGTTGCTGTGTCTCAGTACACTTAAAGATAAGTGCCAAAAATTAGGACTTGTTGGTTGAACAAATAAAGTCAACACCGCTCTTCACCGTTCCCTTCAAGTGTTGGTTGTACCATCAATAGTATAAGCACAAACCTATCTCCCAAGAATTTGGTTTCAGATCGGCCATCGTATATGGGATCTTTGTGTTATAGTCTGCTCTTATTCATGTTTTTCAAGTGTTTCACTTACATGATTATCAAAATTTATTATGCCATATGAGTCTTTTGGCTTCTTGTACAATGGGCCCACTCTTGATTATGTAAATGACTTCATAGGTATATAGTAGTTTATGTTTAGCTTGACTGGGTTCTTCCTCTATGCAATAATGTAGGGTGATCTTGCAATTGATATGCCCAAAGCACCTGCTAGCTAGGTGAGATTATTTGGAAACTAGTTTTTGTTGGGGGAACTCTACTTCAAGATCGTCGAGGATATCCTGAAAAGGTTAGTGATGACTATCTTCAAAAATCCATATTCGCTGCAACAAAGAGGATTGTTAGCTCTAGCCCTGCTGGGAAGGGGCTATTGGATTCATGGCACCCAACATTGAGGCCTGTGAATTGATTTTGTATATTGATGCGTTTAAAACCACAAAACAAAACAAAAAAAAAAAAGGATTATGTTTCATTTGCTTCGTTTTACAAGATTCCCTCATTTTTCCTGTTACATCTTTCACTATCCCTTTCCAGCTAATTGCCCATTTGCATTTTTGAAAATGCAGGTGCATGCATCAGAATCTTTATTCAGAATAGATGATCAAAACAGATCTTTTTACAGCCATAACATTAAAAGGTACATGGTGAATACACTTTTTATAAAATTTTCTTACACGAATACTTGTGAAATTTGACTTTGAAACTCTCTGTTTTTGAAGATCTCCTATTTTCTTGTTATTTTGGGCTACATATTCATAGTGAAGGAGTCCCAATGCACTTCCTTTTTCCTCTGTCCCCACGTTTTACAATTTGGCTGCTACTTCATTGTGAATTTATTCCTAATATATTCCTTGTTTATACACTTTGGTAGGCTGTTGTCCCCACACTAGACAAATTTTTACCTAAAAGTAATTAACTTCGACAAGTTATTTCTATGGGGAAAAGTTTATCAGTTCGTCGTTATCTTGAAATTTGATGTCGCATCATTCTATTTTAAAAGGAAAAGAACACATTTAATTTATTGAATCCAGCCCAACCAATCCAACTGCCACCACTCAACTTTGAACTGTTTTTCTACACCATTTTCAATCTTGCCTCTTCTAATGTGAAAGAAATGAAGTGTGTATTATCTATAGCATTCACAGCAGTCATCTTACTGTCCCAAAACTTTCCAGCTTCAACTCAACAGACAACTGGAATTCAAAGTCGAACCTTGTTCACTACAGACTCTCAGGAGATAGGTGTCCAAATTAAAAGGAGGGTACACACAGTACCGACATATCCTGGCACAGGCGCTTGCGCAAGACCAAAATCATCAGCAATTCGTAATGACAAATCTATGTTTCAATTCTGTTTTCTTCTCAGTTTCTCGATTTTGTTTGGCCGCTTCTTGATCTAAGAGATTTATTAGTTGTTATTACTGCATCTGTTACATCTCCCGTTGCTCGTGAGTAAATGAAAAGAATACAAAGAGATATGATTTGATTTACTGATATTTTATTAAGTTTGTAGTGTATTTGTTGGACCGTTGAAAATTTTTCGTTTATCGTTTGTGTTTGTTCTGTGTATCCTACAAACATTCCTGCACGGAAAATCTTAATTTCGTCCCGTAGATATTATTTTGTATTTATGTCATATATCTCTAATTTTATTGCTTCATATATAGCAGATTAAGTTCTTGAGTTCAAGTTGACACCTAGTTATGAAAATTTCCCATATTGAAGTGTGCATTTGAATGAATATATGACGTACAAAATAGTCTTTATTTTCTGAGAGTTATAGAGGAAGTGATGAAATATATTGATGAAAGATATCGCTAACAGTTTTGAGCTCTAGTTTTCTTTTACTTTTGTTGTGTCGTTATCGATAGTCAATACTGACCTTTAATTAAGAACAACACAAATTATAGATAAGTTTAAATTGCGTATGAAATTCTAAATATTAGGTGGACAAATATTGTTTTTGGGCAGTTGTGGTTCATATTTATGTATAAAATAAAAGTGATAAAATACAATTGAGGTTTATACAGGAATGTCTCGATCTTTTAGGTATGAAAATTTCAAAAACTAGATGCATTGAAGGTTTTTGTTAAAAATTAGGATACAACCCAATTGAAAAATTGGATCATGTTCAAAATAATGTGAACTATAAAGAAATTGAGTACTCGAAACCAATAAGTTCTACATGGTAAGCAAAAGGAAGCTGTATCCAAAAATGATGAAAGTATTTATGGGTATCATACGATTTATTTACAAATAGTTTAATATGAAAAATTATATTAAACTACTTGGATTACACCATTTTATATTGTTAGGATTTCCGTGCTTTTGTGACAATCATGGAATTGATGCTACAGTGCGTGTACTGTAAATTTGTGATAATAGTATGTCGTTGCTTCAGTGGAGCAGCGAGAAAAAAAGCATTCCCCATTTCGGTAGAAGTACAAGTCTTCTCAAAGTTCAATGCTTGATATAAATAATCAAGACCTTAAAACTTAAGGTGTATTGTTACATTACTCTGTCTGCACGATAGGTCACGTAGTTGACAACTAAGCAATGTATCACACAAGAACATAACATCTACCATTATCTAGATGGCCTTCTATTTCAATGCATTGAGAATGCAACCTAACGCCTTGTCGACAATTACCATCGTGCGGACGTAACCCTATTCAAATGTGTCACTTCACCTACCCAATCCGTAGCCACATTGTAGTCTAACACTTCGAACCACATGCGATGTACTTAATGTAATATCTCTACAAGAATTTCTAGGGTTAAATCCCTCCTTTCCTGTATTGGACAAAATGTGGGGGTTGATGACCTATTATGCAATGTGGCAAGATGATAAATTTGACCAATGAGCGTTGGAACGAGACAACGTGTAGTTCATTTCTGTTGCCTATAAATACTCACACTTGGTGAAATATTAAAGATAATAAAAAATTGATATTCTCACTCTAAAAATATAAACCTTAACTCCTGCTCTTCTTCTCTATTTGCACTCAATATAATTTATCATCCTTCTCTCCATATTTGTTTGGAAAGACTTCGGTTTTGCACTTCGACATATGCCTACCAAGTGCACAGGTCAATTACACGCAGAGAAGAATGGAAACGGAATCCGTTAGGGCTATGTTCAATTGGACAGAACAAACAACACAACACAGATTTTGCCTAATCTGACACTTAACACAGCTAGGAGGGCAGAAGATTTTAATTACTCTCTATCCATGCCAGTGAGGAACAAATATGAAATAACAATATTAATTTACACCTTTTTTCTTCAATTTTTTCCACTCCAGGATAACATGAAAAAGATAAACATGCTATATAATTATAAAAGTGATTATTTGGGAAGAATGTTGAATGACGCAAATCAAGCATGTGAATGTGGAAAAGCTTTTATTCCCTTGGCCTTTTTGAACGCTTTTACAGCCTCGGTTTGTTTTTAAAACATTTTTTTTTTCAAGATCCGGGCTCCATATCTTTTTCATAGTGGCTATTGTTCAGTTATATCTTTTGTTAACAGCATCTAGTCCAGCAAATTATAAAGATTAGCACCCTGTGCTCGGTAGTTATACATTATCCATTCCCCATCCTAAATTTGGTCATTCACCCTATAGCTTATCCTCCAATTACTGTCATTTCTCTGCTGCATAATATGCACGCGAATGTTGGCAATGCATGATTGCATTTGCAATCATTGCTACGAAGCCAGAGATCTTCAACTTAGGATGCAGTCTAAACAATTTGGTAGGATATATCTTCAAAATCAACCTATTTTTATGGAATGATTCGTTTTTTAACTAAGGATTTATTTTAGATACCTACTTTCTTTCTGAACTATAGTATTTGGTCTAATTTTTATTCTCATCAATCACGAGTTACACAACAAAAGAAACTTGTTTGAAATAAGATTCGAACCAAGTCACTATCATTTTAAGGCACAAAGTGCTATTCTCCGAACCCCTCTCGATCCTTGACCACACCCACCTCATTCATTGACTCTTAAGTTATCTATGATACCGCAAAGAAAGACAATCACACAATTCCCACTCATGGCCCATGCAGATCCAGACCTTTCTTATAATATCTTCATATATTCTTGAATTTCATCAATTGGTTCTTCATTACTCTTACAACTACCTAACTGATTTTATTTAATATCAAATTGTTAGCAGTGGTGAATCCAAATGCCACTAAACCAGACACGGAAGGCAATCAACATGAACATTACAGACAGCACAATGTATTTCATGAAAGAAAAGGGACTTATGGAGGGTCAGATCTCGCTAGGCATCCCAAAAATTCACACAGTGGCTCCAATTCCTTTACAGAAACTCTAGGTCATATGGTTGAAGGGTGGCTTGTTTTCACTTTCTTTTTCCAGTTACTAAGGAAGCTGTATGATTGTTTACTACAAGTATCTATTGCAGCCTTGTAATTGAGTTTTACACAAAATGTCTGTATCCTTCCAGCTATATGTAGCAAATAGTGAAACCTTAACCGATACTACTATGCATCTATATCTACACCTCAACATAATAGTCAGGACTGGATTATTTCCTTCCGGTATTCGCACTATAACAAGATTATTTATGTCATGTTAGCTTATTGATATTTACATAATGAATGTAATAGTTTTACAAGTTATAACATTAACCAGTATGATGATAAGTTGAAATTCCATTTTCTATTCCTTCTTCAAGAGAAGAATTTCCTAATGCATAAGTAGAATAGGAGAAATTTGAACACTTTGCAAAGCTTAATCCAAGGCAAACTCGTAACAGCTTCATTGATTTTCCTAGTCCACCATAAATATTAGCTTCAGGAATCAAGGAAAACCCAAGCTGAAAAGCAAAAGATATTTGTAACCTTAATATTCTGTTCAAGCTAGGATCATTTATATTTCTAAGCTCATCTATAATCTCATCTATAATGACTTCCAGAAGATTCACACAACCCAAGCCTTTAGTGCATATTACCAGCTCTAGGGAACATTCAAATGTTATTTGATGCACATCTACTTATTAGGTCACTGATTCTGAGCTTTGTTCTTCCACCCTTGAAATCTGAATGGTTGATTTCTAATGTTTGGAGAACTTCAGGGCTCAGGCTATGCTTTATTAATTAAGTTGAAAAATAATGCAGCATGCAGGAAAACCATAAGTTCCAAATTTACGGAACCGCAGATGTGCAGTGAAAAGATTACAGGAAGAGTAAACTACAGATTGGTTGTATGACTAAATCTAAATAATAAAAATTGTGAAATAGGAGTACAAATAGCACCAGTTAGAATTTAAACAAAATAAAATCACAAGGATCCAAGCAGCTATGAAGACTTTCATCGTACCTTTATAACAGCCACTAAACACGAAATGAACCAGGTCCGGTTCAATGACCAGTAGCTTTGACAATTCAACAGTAAATCTCTCCACAACTTCTTTACCAGTCCTGTCAAATTCTGTATTGGAAATGCTCATCATACAATTACCAATGACCATATCTTTCCATGTTGAAAATAGACCTCGGGCTATAAAAGTTGGGCTGCTTAATGTTTTTCAAATTCTTCAGATTTGATGATGCATATGCAATAGCATGACGAGGCACACGCCTACATCCAGATAGATCAATATACTCAAGGTCCCGGCATCCTTCAGAGAGCAAAGCAAGTCCTTTGCCCGTCAACTTGGAAAATTGGAGTTCAAGTTGCAGAAGACGAGGCATAAATTTTCCAATGGTGGCAACTTCTAAATCCCCATCTTGGGGATAGGCATTTAGATACTCATACGGAACGATTCCAACATGTTGTGAAGGATCCACCCAATTCATCAAGTTCCGCCTAAGAATATGCAAGTTAGGACAATGCGATCCTATGGTTGCCAAAGACTTGTGAGATATTTGATAACAGTAGCTGACATCAAGCTCCTTAAGCTTGGGACAACAAGAAGCTTTTTCAGCCATAATTACATCAGACATGAGGACAGCTATTGATAGAGAGAAATTGAATACTTGGACACCTGCAAGAGCAATAAGACATTATAATATTACATGCACAGAAAATCGTTCCATGCATTAAACCTGTGCTAGAATGTAGATATTAAGAATTGGCTGGAATGCAGCTAATTTGTTTGGTTTTCATATAACTCCCCAGTCACTTTTTTGGTTATTGGTAAATACCCAAATTCAGTAACGGAATGAAAATGCAAATAATTCAACAAAACAGAAACCACAGCATGAGTTTTTATCAGGGAAAACATATTTCATCACATTGTTAACACGAGCTTAACCCATTATTTCAAAACACACGGTTGTATAAAGTGCCTATGGAAAGATGATCCTGCACAATTATACAAATCATGAGTTAATTACACTTGTTAACAGTCAATGGTGACTTAGAAACTCACTATAAATTGTAATATGTCAACCTCCATGGGGTTGGATTCTTAACTCAGTCACCCACTTGAGTGAGACATGGAGTTTGACATGCAATTGTTTTCCATGAGATGGAATACATTAGACAAGATCTAAAAAGAAACGAAATAGTCATATTCCCAAACCCCAACCCAAGCATATCAAAACCCCAGAACCCCCTGCAAGTTTCTTGAAATT